ATTAACAAATATATTTAGTATTTTTAATATTTATATTTAAGATTTATCCAACTGAATAAATACTATTTTCCTATATAAAAATATATGAAAAAATATTTTTTATATAATTAGTCGGTTTGCTTGTTTTGGTTATTTTAAAAAATATTGTCAATATTGAACTAACATAATCGATATTTTACAAATAAAAAATAGATAATTAAATTGAAATATAAGATTTCGAAATGAAATTTTATTTCATTTGGTTTCGGTCATCATGTGCAATTCGTCTAACATTATTGTGCAACGCTGTAGTCGTTAATGTGCAAGTCATCTAACACTATTGTGTAGTCACAGTGCAAGCATTTTTGAATGAATTGTCCCAAATCAAACTAAACATAACCGAAATAATCGATTTATTCAATCATATAACCGTATTAACCTAAATAAACAAAATAATTTTTATTTTATGTTATAAAAACAAAATTTAGTATTTTTATACTATTATTTAATATTTTATATTATTTTTAGTTGGAAATATATAATATATAAAATAAAATAATAATTTTTAAATATTTCGGTCTATTGGTTAGTTAAAAAATATATAAAACTAACCTCGAACCCGAATAATCAAAATTTTAAAAGTAAAAAATAATAACTAAACCAACATATATAAACTGTACAAAAAAATATATATACATGTATATTCCAAGTCATTTTGGTCGGTACATATGCTACGTTAAAGTGCAATCTCAAAGACACAAAAGTGCAACTTGTCCATCATTAAAGTGCAACATGTCCAATACTATTTTACTATTCATATTATTTATATTCTTAAAATTTATCTATTAATTCAATATTTGATTTATTACATTATATTATTTTTTATATTATTTTATTACTTTCTATTATTTTATTTTTTTATTTAAATTTTTTATTACTTTTTATAAACCTTTTGTTAATTACAAGTTTGACACATGTACTACATTGAAATTAATTAAAAATCTTGAATTTGCATATAGGTTCTTGTAAAATATCAAATCTACCAATAATTGTCCCCACCCCACAAATCTAAAATCACTCTTGAAAGTCGGACTATTTGGTAGCAGGTCGCCGGTCGCCGGAGCAGCCGCTGAAACTTCGAACGGATGGATATGGGCGGAGGTGCGGCTGGGTGGAGGGCGGATGTGTTGTTGGGCGGAAGTGCGGATGTGGGCGGAGCTTGGGTGGAGGTTTGGCCGGAATTTTGGTCGCGCTCGCCGCTGAGGATGGCGGGACAACGAAGATGGCGATTGTCAATGTTTGGATGAGTGTGGCGGCGGTATGTGGCGGTGCAGGCGGTGGCCGACGGAGGAGACGGTCGTGGATGTGTATGTATTGTGTGTATGTGACGTGTGTGTGTGTGTACAGTGTGTGTGTGTGTGAGTCGCGTGCGTGTGTGCGTCGCCGCCGGTCGGCCGGTGTAGTGTGTGAGTGTGTGCGCAAGGTAGTGTGTGTGAGTGTGAGAGAGAGAAAGACATGTGGAGTGTGTGAGAGAGAGATGTGGTGTTGGAAAAAATCACGTGAGTTGTGACAGCCTGGTAGGTGGTGGGTGTAAGTGGGGCCCGTGTGTAGATGGGGTAGTTGGGAAAAATATTTAGAATACCCTTAATGAATGTATAATTTTGACTTTTTTATTAGCCATGTGATCATCCGATCCGATGGCTACGATTTATTCTTATTTCTTTCACTGAGCACCATTTTCATGTGAGCGCGACTATCCGATGGCTACGATTTATTCTTATTTCTTTCACTGAGCACCATTATCATGTGAGCGCGACCCTATATATATATATATATAGGGATTGGTTCCAATGCATCTCATTATTTAAAGTGAGGACGTGAGACTCATTCATAGCCACAAGATTTAGATCTTGATTTAAATAATAATTCTTTAACTTTATTTACTTTTGTCTTAAAAAAATGCTCATTTGATAAACTTTCATCAACAAAATGATATGCAATGTGCTGCAAATGTTTAATTTAAATCAAATTTTCAACCAAAAAACTTATTTTTTTCATAAATTATAGATGTTAAACTTAAATTATATAATCTCGATCATTTTTTCTTTTTTTTTTTTTTTTGAGAAGTTTGAGGGTGATACAAATTATAATATTTTAAAAAATTGATGATACACATATCGATATTTATATTTACTAGTAAATACATTTTTATATGAAATGAACGTTTCAACTTAAATTATAAGTTCGTTATTTAACATTTAAAACCGGACCCCCTGAGTAAAATTCCTAGATTCGTCACTGCATAGTTACCTTACAAAGCGGAATATGAAAATAGAAAATAGGTTTATATTTAGCAAAAAATGTTAGGAAATTTATACAAATGTTTTTAGCACGTTTTAAAGTGCATTAAAATCCGTTGGTTTACATCCGATAGAAAATTCCATCGACATATTTTCCAATGGTTTAAATATGGTTGAAAATAAAAATTCCAACGGAAATTCTTGCGGTAAAAATCCCTTGGAATAATAACCATTGGAATGATCAAATTCCAATCTAAATTTTAATGGAAAACTCATTCCAATGGAATAATTCCGTTAGAATTTTCGTTGGAATAATTCCGACGGACGCTATAACATTGGAATATTGATTATGGAATTTCCATTGAAATATATTACGTAAAATTTTTCGTTGGAATATGACATTCTTTTTTGTAGTGGTTATCTCCAGTTTGTGCCAATAGTATATGGATTAATGGCATTGTTAAAATGTAAATTATATTTCTTTTCTAAATTTGAAAAAGTTAAATAGTCAACGCTATTGTACATTAGACTGAGTTTAGGAAAAGACTACAATCCTGCCACGGAATGATTCTGTGAGGATTTTTAGCCATTAGATATACAGTTATTGCAGATATATGGAAGTTACATGCATATCTAATGGCTAAAAACCCTCACGGAATCATTCCGTGACGGGATTGTAGACTTTTCCTTAAGTTTAATGTATTCATCACGATCTTTTTATGAATATGTTACAATGTCAATGAATTATGAATATTACCAGATAGGAAAAAGAAATGCTATATTATGTTTTCATTGAGAAACATAAGGTTCAACGTATAATCTATCGAGACATATATTAATGCAATAAGCCTAAAACATGCAATTTACTCTAATTTCGTGTACCAATTTTACCGGTAAACGCGACATTGCTTAAGTCACATGCCAGTTAAGAGAAGTGTGGTTAATTTAAGTGTAAACATAGGTAAACGAAATATGTTGCATTCCTAAGGAACGTCTACTTTGCGTATAACACAACTTATTTGCTTCATAAATTAAATTTAACAATTAATAAACAGCTTTGCGTAGTATAAAAATAACTATTAGTTTAGCCGATTTGGAAACAAATATATCACACGCACACACGAGGTGTTACTCGCGGTTAGACATGACCACAAGTCAGTCCGGAACCGACACGGAACCGGCCCGTAGTCAACGTACTACGGATCAATATATAAATTTTTTAATTGTATAAACGTTAATTTTTATTTCTCAAATGAAAAATTGGTAATACGGGTAACCACTCTCAACCCAACTAAGTTCGATATAAGGATTGGTATAAGGCGTGGACTAAGGGCATGCTTGTTTATCAATTATTTCACTCACTTTTAATTCATACTTAAAATTTAACTCAACTTTAACTCAACCCCAGTATCTTTAATATTATTTATATATTTAATAAATATAATCCAATCATTCTACACATCACATCAACTTTAATTAACTATTCATCCACTCACATAATTTTAACTACATATCATTCCCAATCATTTTCAATCATTTATCTCATACTTTTACATCAAATCAATTTTAATCATTTTATTTTAAATATTATTTTAATACATTTTTAAAATTCCACTAACAACTAATCATACAACCTTTTTCAAAATTAACTCTAGTTAATCGAAATAACTCATTTTGGACAAATTATTTTGTAAACAAGCGAGCCCTAAGTTATTTGGGTTAAATTGGGACGGGAGTTGTAAGTATTAGGCAATTTAATCAATTGGGCCGAGCATAGGGTTTTAGGGCCAAGAATACCACTTAGGCAAATCTCAAAATAACACTTAGCACCAAAATTCAGCTTTGTTTGTTTTGAGGGATTTGAAATCCCTTGATTTCAAAAATTTTGAAATAATTTTTTTTTTACTTGACACTCCTTGAATGGATGTGTTGACTCGCAGTGGTGATGAACTTAAATGATCGCGGACAGCGTGGTCGTCAACGGTGATAAACAATGGATTTCAAATTACTATATTTGAGGAGTCATTTCAAATCCTTCAAAATAATGACTAAAAAACATTTAGCATGAATTTGAAATTCTCCAACTTCCATTATCATCCCAACATACATGAGCATTTGAACTTGTAAATTTGAAATTTATGGATTTCAAATCCCTCGGTAAATCTCTCAAAACAAACGGAGCTTTAGGAAAAATAAAATAAGATAAACAATTAATACACTTAGGAAAAACAATAACAATTTAAGCACTTAGGCACAATTTTAAATAAGCAAGAGCACAAACATATGAAATAAGAAGACGAGGACATCCTCTTAAATCTTGATTTTTGATTAGATAATTAATTAGTAAGATTAAATAGACAATGACATCTATTTAATTCTAATAAGCTTAACAAGGAAAAATTGTCGAGCACTACGACTAAAATAAAAGCGAAGCGAATAAATAAATAATATAGAATACGCTAACTCGTCTATAACAAATGGGGCACTTCAACACTTATTTACGATATTGCTATTGACTGTTTGACCATTTTTTTAATAAATTTGACTTCATCGTGGCCATTGATATGTTGGATCCAATGGTACATACTTATTCTTATTTCTTTCACTATCTACCATTCTCATATGATACACAGATAGATAGATAGATAGATAGATAGATAGATAGATATAGATAGATAATATAATAGTATAGATAGATATAAATAGATATGTTGTCCAAACAAAATATTTGTAACAGACCATTGTTACGAACCGCATGACAAAAAGATATAATGCTTCAAATTCTCAATATGTTTTTATGCATTTTATGTACACAGAGTTAAATCCGAAAATATGCATATATAGTAAATCGCGCGAGTAAATAAGCCGGTATTTAGTTAAGCGATTATTTCATCTGTTGAGCACTCCCTAATTCTGATCTCTGCCACAATGCTGTAGACTCGAATAATGCCGCAACACTCACATCTATCCACCTGAGACCAATAAGCAGCCACAAATAGCTTACACATGTTAAATATCAACAAGAATTTTTTGTTCATTTGTAAATTGATGAAAAAATTACCAATTCACTCGACCATTGTATTTATTGAAATTTAGAAACTAACCCGAGTCCGTTTAACGGCAGGCGAGAAGACTTGAATCTGCTGCACGTAATTCGCCGAACGATTGGCCGTGGATGAGCAGGCCGGCATGCCACGTGGCCACGCTCGGGAATAGCTGGTGAGAACCTCATCATGTGGGCTCTGCATCACCCACTCGAAGAAGAAGACGTGGGGAGCCAAGCATGGGTCCCGCGAGCGTGGCCTTGTGTTGAACAAGTAGAACGGGGGCTTTGAGCCCGCTAGCCACGGCCCAAATGTCTCAATGGGCCTTTGAAGGTAGCTCCTGGGGAAGATGTTCTCGTATATGTGGGCCGAGTAGCCCCAGGAGATGGAGAAGGTCCAGTTAGTCAACCTGTTGTGGCAAATAGTTTGCTGGAGGAGGCGGGACTGCCCGGCGCCAGCTGCCTTCATGAGGTGGCGTGTGGACAGGTGGCGGACCATGTTGGGGAAGATGGGGCCCACCTTGTCAAAGTGGTGGAGGGACAAGAGTGGGGACAGGGAGTGGGATGATAACAAGCCAGATATATCGCCACGTAAATCGACCTTCAACATATATATACATGAATGTGCTTTTTTTAGTGTTGTCTAATAACTCGTGAATATCATCTCTACTTATGTGTACCAAAGATTAAAGGCAAAATTACAATTTTAGTCCTTTTGGTTTGATCCAGTGGCGTTTTTAGTCCTAAGAATTGGATATTTTGCTACTTGGTCCTATAATTTTAAAATTCAACGCAATTTAAGTCCTGTAATTTTAAATTTCATTGCAATTTCAGTCATTTAGGAATGAATTGCAACAAAATACTAAATTATAGGTTCAAAAGACAAAAAGTTAAAATCTTGAGACTAAAAATGCTATAGCGTTAACTAACAAGATTAAAAATGAAATTTTGCCCAGATTAAAAGTGTCTACTATCATTTCTACCCTGTTTAAAATGATATGTATTGATCAATTCGAGAATGCATGTTTTGGGGATCAAGTATGGGTTTTGATCATACATAATTTCGAATCGGAAGATTATTCTTACTATATGGATGAAGACTTTGTCTATGCCAGGCAAACAAGCACTCCTTAGTCTTAGTCTATGGAAAAATATCACTTTTCACAGAAGTCCCCCTGCTTGTCCTTTTCAGTTTGGAAGATAATTGTGGACTATTGTCTAGCTATCTAAACACTATAATAACTTCAAGAACCGAAAATTTGAAGCAATCAAAATATAGTCATCTGGTGATTTCCATTGTTTGGAGACAGGTTAGCACCAATGTCAGCAATACAGGCCCTGGTGGTGTTATCAGCGGAGTTCAAAAACACGTACCTCTTGAGACAACTTTCCATGTCCCGAGCCAGGGCTTTCGCCAGCTTTCGGCTCAGAATTATCCCACCCCCGCCAAAAGCCTGGTCGAACGAAAACAGATTATTCGACACTATACTCTCCGAATTCCCACCGAGATAGTAATACCTCTCGTGGTCGTACTTACTAAGCACGTCGACCATATTGTCAACGAAGGAAATCGAGTCGTCATCCCCCATCACCACCCATCTGAAATCGTCTTCTTTATCGTCAACTAATTCTACCTCCCTCACGACTTCCATTATCCCGTGCACCATCCTCTGGGCCCGGATATTGGTCTTGTTGAGTAATTTTGTTAAATCGTCCGAGACGCGGTAGGGAGGGGAGGTGTCGGGCCAGGGCAGGAGGTTGGGCCCCGAGGGTTTGTCGAGGAAGATGAAGCCATGGGTGGAGTTGGGCCGCCACCACGACTCGATGTACGATTTTCGGTTGGGCCAGGCCTTTTCGGAGGCGAGCAAGCCGAACACGAGGTGGCTGAGATTGGTCGGCTTAGTTTTGGGGCGGCCGGTTGGGGAGAATTGGAAGGTAGGGAGATGAGGTTGTTGTTTGGGTATGAAATTGTGATGAAACCAAGGGCAATTCCTATCAATATCATGAGCAGTAGTTGTGTATGGCATTGGCTGCAGATTTTGATAAGTACCCTTGTTGTCATTTATTGGAGGCTAGAGGTGATATCTGTTCTTGACTGACACTACAAGAAAATGATGAAATTCCAACGGAAATATATTCCAATAAAATTCCAACGGCAATTCCAATGGATATTTCAATGTTATTATTTCCGTTGGAATAATTCCAACGGAAATTCCAACAAAAATATTCCGTTGGAATGAGTTTTCCATTGGAATTTCCGTTTGATTTTGACGATTCCAACAGTAGATTTTTCAACGGTGGTGAAAATAAAAATTCCAATGGAAATTGTATATTCCAACGGAAATTCCTACGGCCAAAATCCGTTGGAAATATAGCCGTTGGAATCATCAAATTCCATCTAAAATTCCAATGAAAAATACATTTCAACGGAATATTTTCGTTGGAATTTCCGTTGGAATCATTCCAACGGAAGCTATACCATTGGAATATCCGTTGGAATTTCCATTGGAATATATTACCATAGGATTTTTCGTTGGAATATAACAATTTTTTGTAGTGTAGAATTGAGTTGAAACTTTTAGATTATAGTGATTTTGACTAGGTGATATATGAATTGTCATTCTGGACATCTTGTCCATTGTCCACCATGTGTGAGATTTTGGAGATTTTGAACATACTGAAAGCATAATCACAGTAAAGTGACATAGAAAATTGTAAATTATCTGCGTCAAATTTTGTTCTTTGACACTTTCGTTTCAATTTAGAATTCTATTTATCTGTCTCACTTATTTTGTGATCCGCTATAAATTTTGACGTAAGGCTAACGCAATGGCTATACATGCTCCATTCTGTTGGATAATTGTGAATGAAACTTGCAACTGACATATTAATTTGAAACCGTATTTTCAATTTTTAAAACTTGTAACTTGGTTTGATTAATGTTGCATTAACTTAACTATAATAAGTGTTGGAGTAAATACATGAGTTAATGAGTATGACTTACTTTAGGCTATATAAAGGTCTTGTCATCTTTAAAAGAAAGAACTCACGAGAAAAAGAAAACAAAAAGTGTTAGAAAAAATCCATCTCCCCTTTTGTCTTTTATAGTGTTTTGGTCCAGGCATAATTCCAGTTCGCCGAATTAGTTTCGGTTTTTCCGTTGTATCCTGGGAAACAGACGCTCATACGGGGCGAATCTGTTTTAAGGACACTGTGTTCTCACAGGCCTCGGTATTTTATTTTAGCCATCTTATTTTTATTTTCCCGATAGAGTTAACTGCAGTTTTAGCTGCAGTTTTCAAAAACTGCAAGTAAATAAATATATTGCGGCAGTTTCCTGGACCGCCACAAACATATGTCAGAAATTAATATATATTAAAATATTTATTTAAATGGCACCTGCTAGTGTTTTTAATTTTTATCCCTTACTCGAGTTGGTGTAAGGTTAGTTAATTAAATAAATATAACAATTGAAATTAAAAACAAAAGAGAAGGCTTACATGAAAAATTATCTTCTTTGCCACTAAGCACAAACATGATCAACATCTCTTCTCTAAAAAATCCCTCCTCAAAATTTGACCATCCCTCTCGTAGAAATTTCAACCGATCATCCCTCTCGCAGATCAGAAATTTCAACCATCGCTCGAGCTCAAGTGAAAGGAAGGACCTCAATTGCATTTAACAAACCGTAGAGTGCTCGAAGCCAGAAACGAAAGCTCAAGCTTGAAGCTACCTTGTGAAAGAAAGGAAGGACTTCAACTGAAAATTTGACCATCGCTCGAAGCTCAAGTTTAATTGCTCGAACTATGTAGTCCGGTAAACCTATATTTAAGATGTTTTAGTGGTTTTTTTTGTTTATGTATTCTTCTTGGCTCATTTTTAGACTTATGAATATTTCAATTTTTTTCTTTGTTTTTTTTTTCTATTTTGAAGATTTTTTATCAATCATATATATTAATTGTGTTTTCTGATGCCCGATTTGTTATCAAGCTATTGGAGTATATGTTGGTTTTTCTATATTTTTTATTTTTCCCTGTTCTCACCATGGTGTAAGCATTCAATTTCAAATAACGAGAGTTTTGACTTAATATTAGTCATTAGATATTTTGGAAAGATGTTGGTTCATGAGTTTTCATTCCCCGCAATCATGAGAATAGTGCCTTTTTCTCTGATTTTTGGGAATTTTACTGTGTTGCTAGCTGCGGTTGTTAGTGTTTTTTCGGTATAGGTATATGTTGTTAACTGATTTGCTAACTGATTCACTGAGAATAGTGCCTTTTTACTGTGTTGCTAGCTGATTTTTGAGAATTTTACTGTAAAAGCATATGTTGTTGTGTTATTACGAAAGTTGGTGATGGTTCTGGGGAAACAAAGAACAAAAATAAATGAGAGTAAAGTGTCAAAAATTGTCATTGAAATATGTACTTGGATTTAGAATATATGTACTCACAGCATGATTTGGATTTAAAATAGTACCTACAAATAAGGGATTTGAGTTTTGTAATTATTTTTTATATACACATTTTTTTGTTATACCGGACTTTTCACCGTTAATATTTCTTGTTTTTAAGTCCTCTCCAAGGGTGGCTGGGCTATAAGAATTTATTGGTTTGATTTGTCATCAACTGAAGTTTGTATTTCTTTTAGACATTTGAACTTCGTCTTGGATCATTGTAGTGAAACAATGTCATCTTCTTTGCAATGTCTGTTACATACTTACAGTATTACATGCTTTATATCTATGTTCTCTTTAAATTTCATTTCACGTTGAAAATGTTCTATTACAAGATGTACTATACTTTTGTTGCATAAATGCAATGATGAAATAATTGGTTTATGCAATAAATTATAGTGAAAATGTATCATCAGGAAAAATTGAGCTTATGGGCTGATTAGGATTGTTGTTTGGGTTATTTTTTTTTTCTTTTCCAAAACGACAGAAATAACTATTAATAAAGAAAACAGGCGAACACCGTTCGAATACATCGGGATGCAACAACTCAAAGAAATGAAAACTGAGAGACGCGCCAAAGACGGTCTAGAACCTCAACAAACCAACCACACTACCACAAACTATCAAACTGAAAAAAAACATCAAGCAACAAGCTACAATAATGCACAGGGAAAATAGCCTCTGACCACTGCTACAAAGCCTAGCTAAGGGTTACATTCCAAAGCAAAAAAACTAAAAACAAAAGCTATCAAAGAGTGAACTGGCAGCATTAACCCGCGGCTGAGATGAAGTGAAGCCAGTCTGATTGAGCAAGCTGCACCACCACATGCTCAGGCATCAATGACTTTTGAAAAATCCAGAGGTTCCTGGATTTCCAGAGCCACCAAAGAAAATACGTGGACAGTTGAATTCGAGCTTCGGCTACCTCAGAATGATCCAAGTAACATACCTGATACCACCAATCAGCAAATGATTCTGTTCTGTGCCTAATGCCATCCCACTGGACAGGGCTGTATTCCCAAACTCTCTGAGCTCTTGAACATTTGAAAAGGAGGTGTTCCAGAGTTTCCATGTCTTCTCCACAGAGTGAGCAGGTGATGTCCAAATTCACTTTCCTCTTAAAGAGTTGCACTGCAACTGGTAGGGTGTTGGTGAGACATTTCCACAGAAAAAACTTCAATTTACCTGCAATTTTCAATTTCCAGTGTCTGTATTTGATAGCCTTGTTGAGAGAAGAGGCAGAGCTGCTTTCAGGGGAGTCTGTCTGCAAGTATTTCATAGATACTAGGTGCTTGTAAGTACTGGATACAGAGTAGTGACCCTTCTTCTCTAATCCCCAAACCAACCTATCACTTCTGTCAGAATTAAGGGATTTAACACCAAGAATAGCATTGCTATCTGAACTGTCAAAAACTTGCCTTACAAGCCATTCATTCCACATATTTCCCACTAGCAGCATCAAGTCCTTAACCCAAATCAAGTGACCTCTTGCAATAGGAATTAAAGTAGGAGAAGGTTTGTTAATATTAGGAACCCAGTTGGGATCATTGATCCTGGTAGATAGGCCATTTCTCACTTCAATCCTTAACCACTTTGCAAAAAAAGGCATAAATTCCATCCAACTGTTCCACATCAATGAACCTCCCTGAGTCTTACTAGCATGAACAATTGAGGAGTGTGGAAAGTACCTGTCTTTGAGCAGTCTACTAACCAGCAAGTCAGGCTGAGAAGCCACTCTCCACAGTTGTTTGCAGATCATAGCTTTGTTGAAAAGCTGCAGGTCTTGAAAACCAAGTCCTCCTTGCTGCTTCTGAAGGGACAAGTAGCTCCACTTTTTCCAGTGAATACCCTGAGCTTGGTCAGTTCCTGTGTTCCACCAAAACTGGGCACATAATCTAGAGATTTCTGAACACAAAGTGTAACATCCCTCTCAGTTAATATGATAGTAACAAGTTATAAATGTTCAAAGAAGTGAGAAAATTTATTTAGACATTTTAGTCTATTTAAATTATTAGAGAGAAATATGAAATTTTTAGAATTTTCGTTTTTTTCGGTTTTCGATTGTAGTTGGAATTTATGTCCGATTTCAGTTCCGAGAAATACGTTAAATTATTTTCTCTCTATATTTTTAGTAGAATACAAGATAAGAAAAAATTTTCAGCATAGAAATGAAAAATGACAAAAGAAAAGAAGGAAATTCGAAAACTGTAAGAATTTTCGATTTTACGGTAACTGTTCGTTTTAAGTCAGAATTTGGTTCCGTAAATTGGAGAATTTTCACTAAATCTCGAATTTAATCATTAAGATCAGATTAGGATCATAAGAGGGGCCTTTCTAAGCATTGACTATGAGTTGGAGAAGTTAAGAATACTATTTATTATCTATATTTATTTTTACAAGTTTGTATTGTTTATTATGATCCAAAATTCACTCTATTTGGATGTTTGTCCAAATTATCCAAAGGAAATTTCTAAATTATCCAAAGGAAATTTCTAAGTATATAATATGTTTGGAGAGTTGAATAAGTTGATCATAAAATATTTTATGAGTATTTAAATATATAAGTTACATTTGTTTATGAGTATTTAAAGATATAAGTTACGT